AGTACAATAATAAATGTAAAGGGTCTAACGGTCCAGTTGCCTAAATGACCTTTGTTTTTGCTGCCTTCCTCTGCAAGAAATCATTTTTCAATGCAAAATGCCATCATTCGTTGGCTAAATCATTCAACATTTTCTACTATTGTATCTCTTTCTCCCATCGGGCCTTGTGTCTTTGCGGTAGCAACTAAGTCCTGATGAAACCGAGCCTACTCGTTTTCCATACAGGCTATCCTCCTCGGTATCTGCAGATTGCGTAAGCCGCATTGCTCGTCCCGCGCAGCAACAAAATCGCATCATCTCTTCTGCTAGCTCCGGCCCGAGCTGGAGGCTGAGTTCGAGTTTTGCGACCAACTGCGTGACGAGAATTCGAATGAAGCTGAAATTAACAAAATGAGCCGAAATGCGGCGACAATGCGCGCACATGCACGTAGGAGGAGGCAGATTGCGAGAAATGTTTCGGTATAAATAAATGTTTGAGGGCTTTAGTGACGATTTCCTGTAGCAATTTTCCATATGCTTTCTTTATTGGGGGTGGAGGAAAGTGCATGCATTTGTGTGTGGGTCCACGTGTGTGTGGACGTGAGCACACACTTTATGTTAGCGCATGCATATTTCGTGTTAGGGCAACACGATGTGATACTGACAAAATAAAGGAAAACTATTCTTGCAACAATTAGGGAGAAATCATCACGATGTAATAAATAGTGTGAAAATAAGTTAATTCTGAAAAATATAACAATTAATTCGCTTCGGGTGAGGTAGGCCTGAATAGACGGCAGGTAATTGATTGAAGTGAATGCTATTCACATGAAATAGGTGAAGCGGAAAAAAAACAAATGTATTATGAGATTTATTCCCACCCTTGGGAAAGCAAGGCTATGTGAAATTCTGTGGAAACGTTAGCTCAACTCATATCATTGTTTAAGGATACATATGCGTCAACTTATGATATTTAAAAAAAATCGGACTCCACATTTGTAGAGCCCAGCTTCCTTAAAATCGTAATACTTCTAATCTAATGTAAGGTCTGCTCAAAAGCTTCTCATAAAGAACTAATGCTGATTTTCTATTCGACTACACATGATGACAACTTTAAATGTTTTAACTAATCGACTGTCAATTGTTGCCTTGAAAAAAAGTTGAATTCCGTACCTGTGTGCAAATTAATCAAATTATCTCTTTTATTAACTTTGATCCTCATAGAGTATTGTTAAGAAAAAATATATTCTTTAAACTGTCTTGCTCTTGTCTCTCGTTAATTAATTCTGTTTAATTCAAAACTACAATGTTTATTGTATGCATATACCAAAAATATGCAGCATGGCTTTCATTTTAATGTCAGCAATATTGTTAAAGATTATGTCTCGTTTCAAAAAAGGCATATTTGCGAAGGCCACATATATACAGTAAAATGAGGTTACACCAACATTTTAGACGAAATTATTCTTATTTTTATACGTTTACTTATATATGCTATTTTATAAACTTTATTAACCGATTTGATGAAGTGGATACTGATCGTGATTCCAGTCCTTCATCACCTTAAACGAAATTGGGTGAATACATCTCATTACACTGATTTACTGGTAGTCACATAAATAATACTTGATTCGAAAAATAAAACTATTGCATATATGTAGAAAAACTGGGTTTAGAAGAATCCCTTAATAAAATGATGTAGGAGTAACTTTCATTTCGTTTGAAGAGGCGAGTGGAATGGATTCGTAGGTTGGTTCCACCGGAGGCTGTGGGGGGTTGCCTTGGAGCTGTGGTTGTCGATTTGTGCGAATATGCTTTCGGCGCACCGCCATGCAACCACGAAGAATCCTTGCCGAGTTTCCGTCCGTCATGTGACGAACATCGTCAGAGCAGGACATGATGTTTGACGATGATTGCGCGAAAACACTAAGGCAAGGAAGGTGGCCGGCTTCGAACCCACTTCCCTCTTCTATTCCAATTTGGTCCAGTTGGGCATCTCATGTTTTGGTTGAATGTGCCATACTTTGCTTCTCTA